AGTGCCAGTAATGCGGAAACAAGTCTGTTTACGCCATTACTTCATCTTCCCCCTATCCAAGGCAGAAATGCTACAGCGAGGAATGATTATGCTTATCAGCACTATTTTTCCACAGTGTTATCAACTCCAGCACCATAAAGTACTAGCATAAAGTTATCACTTCGACGTACATTTGGGTATGACTTATTTCTCTACCACCTTTCACTGAAGAAGGTTAGTCAATCACTCTACTGAACTTACACCCCATTAAGCCGAAGTAACATGGGGACTCCAAGACAACCGCCACTTTCACGCCAATTCTCGTTCCTGCGAGGAATTCCTGCTGCGAAGAGTACAGTCGCCCATGTGGAGTATGTTGAACAAAGGGCCTTCTGCATATAGTCTACGGTGGGGAATCCACCCGTCAGTGGGCAACGCTGAACACCACTCTGATAGTTATTCAGGTACTCGAGGAGGTCCTCCTTCGCAAGCACCACATAAAACATGGATGGTCTCCTATTTTCAGGGCTACCTGTGGTTGAGAACCCTGACTGCTGGGGTTGTCTTCAGTTTTACATGTTTTCACTACCTCAGAAGGTAGTTACCAGCGCCGAAGGGTCCAACATTGAGAAGGGCTTCAGAGTGTCCCTACGCTTCAGAAGCATGCTGCTTTTTCTTTTCACCAGCCACTATACCCATGGAAGTCATGGAAAATGGACATGATTGTCATGGAGAATGAACCTGATTATTTCAGATGTCAGAGTATGGAGAATTACAAGTTCCAAACTCGACGTTTTCACATATCTATGAGCTGTTTTTCGTTGGTTCATTCCTGAACTCGACGTCCACTGTCACCCTTTATCTGCTTTATATGTACCTTGGCATATGCGCTGCCATCATTATCTTCTGTGTTGGTATGGTGACTTTGTGGAGAGAAGCGGATAAATGGAAAAAATACACGGATCACATTTGTGCAGGCTATCACTATGCCAGTGTAGGCAGCTAGTTTTTCCCTCATTTTCAAATGGGAGTATTTTGTGACTAATCATACAAACGGTATTCATTCAGGCTCCAAGCCGTCGCATGACTCGCAGCCGATCCAAACGGATGAAGGCAAGTAGAAGAGCAAAAAGAAGAGCAAGGAAACCGAAGAGAAAG